CGAGTTGCACATTAAAAAAAAAAGGAAAAAGTGACTGGAACGAATGCACGGAGACTGTGGTCGATAGTTACGCGGTTTATTTGTTTTCTGCATCCTTGGGAACTCCCGGAGCTACCACGCGCGATACGCGATTACCAAAAGTCAATAGAACGATGTAACTGCCAACGAGGGATCCGGACGAATCGAAGATGCACAAAAATCCATCGCAAAATGAAAATTTTTTAATCGTTTTTCAACGCGAAATTTTTTGAACTCGATCAACTGTATAGCAATTGTAATTGAGAATTTATTTATTCTATAGTATAATTTAAGTAAACTGCACTTTGTATTCTATTAAATTTGTATTCTATTAAATTTGTATTCTATAAAATTTTTCAAAAGAATTCTTGAAACTGGTATTTCGAAGATTGTTGAAGATGATGTCGAGAAAATGGAGATTTTTGTTGAATTGAAATAAAACGAAAGATTCGAGAAAATGCGAAATTTTTACGATTTCATCGAATTTGAGAAACTGTATAGTGTTTGTAATTGAGAATTTGTTTATTCTACAGCATAAGTAAATTCTAAATCTCATTAATTTGTATTCTATTAAATTTTTTAAAAGAATTCTTGAAAACTGGAATTTCGAAGATTTTTGAAAATGTAGAGGAAATGGAGATTTTTGGTGAATCGAAATAAAACGAAAAAATATGTGTGCGTTGAAGGAATCATGCAACAGAATGGATTAAATTTGCATAACACAGTGACGTAGGTAAGGTCGTGTAAACAGTGGTAAGAAAATTAATTTCATAAACGACATTGTGTTTTATCTCGCGCGAAGCGAATTCAATGGGAACTCGGGTTCGAGGATGTAAAACGTGATTTACATAAAATGTGTGTGAACATCGTAAGCGTTATTAATGAAATTCTATTGTGTTTGCTCGCTTGTAACCTTTAATGCTTGCTCTCGTCGTAATCTTCCGACGAACTTCGGAATAAATTCTAAAGCAACCGAATACGGTAGTAGTTTCGTCACTTGAAAGTTTGTCGAACAATTTAGTTACTCGAAAGCGACTGGTAATTTTAAACCGTCTTCGAAATGTACCTGTCAAGATTCTCGGAACTAAAACCGATCCTTACGATATTAACGCTAGAACTATCAAACTTGTCAAAATTACCCATTCGTAATTTCTAATAAAATCTGTAAAAAATTGACTCGACTGAATTTTTGGAAATTTACCGTAATTTTAAGAGAATGAATAAACACTTATTTCCATTTCATTATACATTTCCTCACGCACCTATCCGTTTCAATTTCCTTGGTACAAATATACACACTATAACTGTCGATAGTTCTAGTGTTATTACGTTCACTGTCCAATGTCTCAGCGTCGTATCCAATAGCACGATGGTGTGGCCCATATACGGGTCACGGGCAGTGGACGTGTGTGTTAACAATTGAAAAGGAAAAAAAATAAATCGTGAAATTTAACTCTCGTGCATAATATTAACACGTTCACTGTCCAATGTCTCAGCGTCGTATGCAATAGCACGGTGGTGTGACCCATATACGGGGCACGAACAGTCAACGTGTTGAAATAAAAAATATTCCCCCTCCCTGCAAAAACGTGATCAACTTCGAAAAGTTTCCAAGTTTCGCGAAGCTTGTTAAAAATTTCATAATTAATAAACACTATAATTGTCGGTAGTTCTAGCGTTAATACGTTCACTGTCCAATGTCTCAGCGTCGTATCCAATAGCACGATGGTGTGGCCCATATACGGGTCACGGGCAGTGAACGTGTGTGTTGATAATTGAAAAGGAAAAAAATAAATCGTGAGATTTTACGCTCGTACATTTCACAGTTAAACACAGCAGAAGTGGATCCAAACGATAAAGAAAAATATTTCTTCAGTCTGCTTAATCCGGAATATTATTCAAAAATTGACAATTTCAAAAACGAATAAAACAACAAAGGATAAACGTGGGAAAAAAGTGTAACAAAATCGTAGAGAGGGGGAATTTTGCTTAACGACCTCTATTATCCGGTAATACGATTTTCTCCAATGTGCAACGATGCAATTACAAACTGCATATGCAATTTCTTTTAAATTGGAACCGTGCAATTTTTCCCCATAAATCGATTCTCGTTTTAGGTCCTTTCATGTAGAAAAAAGAGGTAAGATTGCTAAAAAAAAAAAAAACAAGTACACGTTTTTTAATTATATTCCACTGTTTCCGTGGCGAGATCTATGAAATTTCTCCAAATTTTTAATTTTATTGCGATTTATTTGACTTTTGAGCAACGTTGGTTCCCAAACTTCGTATCGAGTATGTTAAATTCTTATTCGATGCTCACGTGAGGGTGATAATTTAACGTGCATTTAATTTTGTTAGCCACTTCGCTGTTTAGTCTGCACGATGTACGAGCCAAAACGATGCGTTTAAACTGCGCGACTGGCGACCAAGATAATGCGTTTGGGCCATAATTTCTCCGTTCGCTAAATAAATGTACACTGTTTGTATACACGGATTATACGAAGAAAATGCATTTCCATAGATCAAACCGTACGGAATTCAACGATATCGAACTCTATCGGTAGAATCAAAATATTCGCCATCACCTCGAGCGTATTAACCCTTTGCACACCTACGTCGAGTGTGCAATTTTTATCTCAGGAGCTCCTTTGTCGAGTCTCGACATTATTTCAAGTCCAAAACCAAGAATCTACCATACACTTGAAAATTAAAAAATTAAAAAATATAACAATAATGTAAACAAAACAGATATTTAATTGAATTTGTTTGTTTAAATTTCCCCTACTTTTTAGCTAACGTAAATTTCAAATAAAACAGATATTTAATTGAATTTGTTTCTTCCTCTATTTGTTCAAATTTCCCCTACTTTTTAGCTAACGTAAATTTCAAATAAAACAGATATTTCATTGAATTTGTTTCTTCCTCTATTTGTTTAAATTTGTTCCTTTATTTGTTCAAATTTGCCCCACTTTTTAGCTAACGTAAATTTCAAATAAAACAGATATTTCATTGAATTTGTTTCTTCCTCTATTTGTTTAAATTTGTTCCTTTATTTGTTCAAATTTGCCCCACTTTTTAGCTAACGTAAATTTCAAATAAAACAAATATTTAATTGAATTTGTTTGTTCCTCTATTTGTTCAAATTTCCCCTACTTTTTAGCTAACGTAAATTTCAAATAAAACAGATATTTCATTGAATTTGTTTCTTCCTCTATTTGTTTAAATTTGTTCCTTTATTTGTTCAAATTTGCCCCACTTTTTAGCTAACGTAAATTTCAAATAAAACAGATATTTAATTGAATTTTGTTCCTCTTTTAATCGAAGTTTGTTCCTCTATTTGTTCAAATTTCCCCCACTTTTTAGCTACCGTAAATTTCAAACAAAACACTTAACCCTTTGCACTCCGAATTATATTTCAATTTTATTACCAGCAGCTCCCACTGCTTTTAAGTGTTTTCTCAACTAAAAAATAGGGCTATTCAAACAAGTAGAGGAGCAAATAAATTCAATTAAACAACTGTTTTATTTACATTGTTGTTGTATTTCGCAATTATCAAGTGTGTGATATTTGGTTTGGACTTGAGAAAATGTCGAATGGGACTCCACAAAAATCAAAACAAAATTCAAATATAATTCGGGAGTGCAAAGGGTTAAACGAACCAAGATCGTCAACAATAATCTGACAATTGATGCAACTGACACAACATTCGACAGAACTCGCTGTATTTCTAGACGTTTGCATTTTTCATGGAGGATTCAACGATATTTCGTGCGCATCGGAATACTAAAAAGGGCCATTTTTCAACCGAGTGTAGTCGCGTAACCGCCAAAATAAACTCAGAGGTTCTCGTCCACCGAATAATCTTATCTCGTGCAACCTTGAACCAATGCGCTTCTAAAACAATTTTTCTGTTTACCGATACTCGGGACGCTCGTAAATACGGGACTGAATTTCGCGTCGAACTGATTTCTACTACCTGGCGTTGTTTACTCTGCTCGACGAGCACTGCCACATCAAAAACCGTATAATAAATTAGCAAAAGTAAAATTTTAATTCTCTGTACTCTGTAATTCGCTATTTATTTTTGTAATCTTGTTAAAATTTGCAAATTTTATCCAAATTTATTTTTCTCAACGCCTTAACTTGAGAATTCATTTTCCTAACATCGTAATGATTAGACTGCGGATGTTTATGCATTTATGGGAAATTTTAATTTTCATTGGTGTTAAAAATGAACTTCAAATCTCCAATATCGTCCCATTTTGGTACCCATAAACCCTGCCTAAAATTCTCTTATCAATGTATTTTTAAACAGCCTCCATATATTTCAAATTTACTCGACTGGATTTTTGCAAAATTACCAATATTTATCGTTTCAATTTCTTAGGTACAAATAGCTACACCACAATTGGTCAAGTTCTGGTGTTAAAAATGAACTTCAAATCTCAAATATCGTCCATTTTGGTCCCCCATAAACCCTGCCTAAAATTCTCGTATCAATGTATCTTTCAACAGCCTCCATATCTCTCAAATTTACTCGACTGAATTTTTGCATTTATCGTTTCAATTTCTTAGGTACAAATAGCTACACCACAATTGGTCAAGTTTTGGTGTTAAACCTAACTTCAAATCTCAAATATCGTCCATTTTGGTCCCCCATAAACCCTGCCTAAAATTCTCGTATGAATGCATCTTTCAACAGCCTCCATATCTCTCAAATTTACTCACTCTGCACGATAACATCGTCTTACCAAAACAAAGCTCACTATCGATCACATCAAAGCACTCCAGTATCAGGATCGAATGGACACTCAGGACTACCTCCCCCCTAGAGGATCAATCGTGATTTCGAGACGGGGACACTACCCTCAAAGTGAAAAAGTCCCTGTTCTCTTGGGGGATGCCAGGATCGACGATCCCCCGACGGCGAACGCGTTTAACGTGGTCGATACGTCGAAAGAGAGGGTCGTGAGGCTCCTACCTTTCGCGGTTCGGGGGCGTAGATCCCTGGCAACGGTGCCAGCAGGTGCAGACCGGGATTCGGGATGCCGGATGCGGGATGTCCAGGCGGTATCGGCAGCGGCACCAGCTTCAGGCCCCAGGGTAGATACCAGGGCGCAGTGTGGTGCATGATCGCGGCACGATCGTGAATAATTCCACTGTACGGCGGGAACAACGCGCCAGGATGCGTTCAATCACTTGGGGCTGTCGATCGAGACGATTACGGGACAACGGTTGTAGTCGGTGACGAACGAGCCAGGGGATCACCTTGGCATCTTACGCGAAAACTTGTGAATTGACAATGTCCACCCGTCGATTATTATTGTTATCCCCCGAGAAATCCTTGGATCACACGCGCGGGGTACACTCTTCGACCATCACTGACGTCATCGTGAAAACGGCGGAGATATACAGAGAGAGAGGTTGTCACGAACGGTTCCGACGGTGTGCGTTTTCGTGATTTTTCTTCGGTGTCGAGATAAGGTACGTGAACGAGAGAGAGCGGGGGAGACCGTAACGACAGAGCCACAACGTGCACGGCGTGAGCGCGCGGCAACGACTGATCGCCGATCGAGCCGAGACGCGACGCGCGAGCACATGGCCGCGGCCACCCCCACCACCCGGGGCGCGCACGGGCTGCTTCTAGGCCGCCAGACGCTCGCGAGCACCACACCCCCGCGCCAGCCCCATTTCCACTGATCCCCGGCACAACCGTTTGATACGTTTGACTTTAACCCCCACCCCCAACGCCCCCGACGTCCGACTTCCTCCCTCGGAACCGTTGTTTTCTTCTCTGGACGGCTCGCCAAACGGCGACCCCAGACCTAACCCCGGACCTAACCTAACCTGAATTTATTTTAAAATAAATAATTTTAAATTAAAATTATTGAAAACTGTAAATCGTAAAAATTTCAAAAATTCATAGTAGACAGTTTAGACTCATCTAAAACAATATCAACGAGGATATGCAACGGTATTGGCACAATATCGATTCGAAGGAAAAACTTTTTGAATATTCTTTTGCTATCAATTTTAGGGGGAATACGATCTAGGGAATCGGAGATCCCAGGAGGAATAATATTTGTCTCTGGTTCCATAGGATATCAAGATTCGTAAATAATGAAACGAAACACCAGAGTATCTCGTGTTTCTTGAAAACAAAAATTTGTAAATATTAACTCGATAAAAAAAATTATTAAACTGACATATGGGTTGGAAACTAGATGAAATTTAAGGTCTGGTTTCTACGTTAACACGTTGATAGCTATGGTGGTCACCGGTGACCGACACTTTGAACTCACGTAACTACTTTTAATTTGGAATATTGTAATTTGAAAAACTGTTGAGGGCAAAGGATCGAGAATGATTAAAATTTTAAAAATTGTGTTTTTAATTTTTCGTATCTTCAAATACCAGAATTAAATTGCAGAAGAATGGGGGGATCGTCGGCCATTTTTTCGGAGTTTTCTTCGCCGTGAAGGGTTGCACGAGCGATCGAGAGGACTCGGGAGGAGCAGCGATTAAAACCGCGCGTCAGCCGCGATCGAAATTTAATTTTCACACGAGTTTCCCCCGTAAAACTTCCCTCGAAAGGTGGGTGGGGGTGGGGTGGGATTCCGGCGGATAAATTATTTCCAGATTAAATAACCACGCGGCGGTGGTCTCGCCCGATCGAGGAATCGTCGACGATTAAATTACACGGCAATTTCATCGACTCGTTAGAAACTCTGTTACGGATTCGCGCGAATTATTTACATTCTCATTAAATATAATTGCCGTCGGACGGGTGCAATCTAAAATTGGACACACACCGGGGGGATCTAACTGTATCTAACTTCGCGGGCGTTGGATACTCGTAGACTATCAAACGAGATCCCATATTACGACGATCCTCCCCTAACGAATCATATATTTATCGACGTCGGGCTCTCCGCGATCCCGCCAACTCCGCAAACGAGCTCGGTTAAAATGCCATCAATGAAAAAGCGAGATTACGAGGAAAAAAAAAAATACAGCGAAATTAATGAAGAACCGACAACTTCCATCGTACGAAGTTTTGTATAATAATATTCCGGTTGTTTGAATAATAAGACCAAGTAGATCATTTCGAAGTTATTTATCAAGTTTGACAGTTATAGTAAGTTTCTGGATGGTCGGCTTTAACGTCAGTTTTGGAACTGCGGAAAACTGGGACGAATTTTGGGAAAGTAATTAGAAATCAAGAGCCACGTTTCTCGACGTTTCTACTGTTTTCTTTTGGGCGAAATTTCGATATATTTTCAAGATCGATTTTGATAATTTTATTTTTATTTATGAGTGGATTAAAACAGGCGATATCGTTCGAATATTCATGGGGAATTGTGTAACTTCTTGTTTGTCTAAACCAGACCTAACCCAGACCTAACCCAAACTTAGCCCGGACCTAACTCAGACCTAACCCAAACTTAGTCCAGACCTAACCCAAACGTAGCCCAGACCTAACCCAGACTCTGGAATTCAGGGCGGCCATCTTGTTCCGGAGCAGTGACATCTGGCGGGAAATGTTGAACGAGGAGGTTACGATTTGAATTTGCAACATGTTTGCGAGAAATAAAAATTTCATGGAGCTGCAAAAATGAACACAAAGGCAAAATAAAATGAAAATACTCTCGCCATTTAGTCATTACATCAAAGTGCACAATAATTTCATTTTCACCGAATCAATAACAAAGTTGCTAAATAGTAGAAAAAAATCTATTTTTGATTGAATTTTATTGAAAATTTTTAATAATCGTCGTACGAGTGAGCCTAAGTTTCCCGGAAAAGTTTTTGGTGAGCGTAGACGGGTGATATGGCGCGTCGAGAGTCCAGCGGTTTTAAAACAAACGCTATTGAAATGGCTTTCGACGCTATTAAAACCGTGCAGAGACGAGAGAGGCATCGGTAAACAGCAGGTGCACCCGGTGCCGTATGTTAAAGCAAATATTGATGAACAAACGTTCGTTCGCTCGGAAACGAATGTCGGAATATTAATATTAATGCGACGCCATTACACTTGCTGATCGCGGCCCTATTGCTTCGCGAGGTGACCATGCGGCGCACAAGTTTCGCGGACTTTTCCGCGTATTTACCAACACGCGTCCAATCCCCGAACTTAAATTCTCGCTTTCGACCCTCCCCTGTTCCTAGAAATACTAACATCAACGGCGTTGAAACTGCATTAAAGTACAAAATAGTTCGATACTACAGTGTTCCAAACGACGCTGAAAGAAAAGGTAAACTCGAAGCTATGGTCATCGATGGCCGCCATGACAGTCGACGTATCAAGAAATTCTTTCCTCCGATTACGATTTGGGGGGTTAAAACTGCGTTAAAATAATAATAAAAACCTTTAAATAGTTTGATCACACGCACTTTTCATTTTACAGTGCTCCAAATGCCGCTAAAATTGTTTAAAAGTGTCAAATATTCGATATAAAAGCTCGAAGTGACGGTCATCGATGGCCATGACAGGCGACGTACCAAGAAATTCTTTCCTCCAATTACGATCTTCATTGGGGGATTAAAACTGCGTTAAAATAATAATAAAACACAGTTGGATAGTTTGATCACACGCACTTTCCATTTTACTGTGCTCCAAATTACGCTACAATTGTTTAAAAGTGTCAAATATTTGATATAAAAGCTCCAAGTGACGATCATCGATGGCCATGACAGTGGACGTATCAAGAAATTCTTTCCACCGATTACGATCCTCATTGAGGGGTTAAAACTGCGTTAAAATAATAATAAAAAACAGTTGGATAGTTTGATCACACGCACTTTCCATTTTGCAGTGCTCCAAATGACGCTAAAATTGTTTAAAAGTGTCAAATATTCGATATGAAAGTTCGAAGTGACGGTCATGGCCGCCATGACAGTTGACCAATCGAAACATTAATTCCTTCGATTTAATCGAAACTAATCGTAACTTATAAACCTAAATTATTATTCTGTGGTTCATTTTATCCAAGTTTCGATGCAGAAAGCAAGTACGAGTCGAAGACTTGGGCGTTTCGGGCGTCGAAAAAAATTAGATTCCCCGGCGTCTCTTTCGACCGATAGGATTTCGTCTGAAATAGAGGGCTTCCTCGACCCTGCTTTGTATGCGATACGTATCGCGTTCACGGGGATTGATTGCCACCGAGGGTTGGTTGTTCATTCAGCGAAGCAGTAAAATAGCAACTGAGAGGCTTTGTTTTCCTTGTTTTTTTACCACTGTTTTCATTCGTAACTTCGACCATTCCGTCGTTCGATGTGAACGATCGACGTCGATTTTTGTCGCGATTACGATTTATTTAAGATCGTACACTGGTCTCAGAAATTTCCACGATCCACGTGTTTTGGTGTTATATGGACGCAACAATTCCCGACTCGTGGCTCGATTTACCTCGTTCGGAGACGTCGCTGGGACTTCTTGGAGGAAATTCAAGGCTTCGAGCGGGTCGTGAAAGGGGCGTTCTCGGTTCGAGCACGCGTTAATCCATATTGGACGAGATGTTACGTCGCGTTACGTCGCCCGTTGCGCAAAAACTCGCGTGACGAGTCTCGTGTGTCGATGACTGGGGAATCTCGGCTGTCCGGATATCCTTCGACGTCTGAACAACAACGTTCATGTCGATACGCCGCATTGTATCAAACGATTCGTAAATAACCATTAGATCCTCCACAAATAAATTTCAAGTCTACCAATAAAATTTCCTATGTACCAAATCACTGTTTATTATACAGGGTGGTCCACGCAATTGTTAAGTCATAACTACGTTATTATTGCCAAAGGAGAAAGATAAATTTTCTTTTTGAAAATATCTCGAGATCTAATCATTTTTTTGCCATGGTACCCTAATCATTTTATACGCAGAATGAACAGAGGAATCGATCTGTGTAAAAAAAAATATGCATTTCTGTTTAAAGAAACGATGCAATTGTTAATTGCACATGCACCGCTGCAACTAAAAAAAATTTAATGGCCTACGGATGTAGTGCTCTTCGAACCATTTATCTTTCTCCTTTGGCATTTTTTCGTAAATGCAATAATAACGGAGGTATGACTTGTAACAATTGGACCACCCTGTATATAAATTCAACGTTTGAAATTGCTTCTTGAAAAGTCTGTTCTTTTTATTTAATTTCATCCCCCCCCCCAAAAAAATAAACATCGATCACTGAATGCAAAGTTTAAGCTAAAAAAAAATTTCGTCGAAGACCAAAAATTGATATCGATAGTTGAGAGATTATTTATTGGGAACCAAAGAAATGGTGAAAGTTGAATTTATTCAGATAAACGAGAGATCCTCGACTAATAGTGAGTTTATCTCGAATTGGAATCTTTCGAGATCATGATAATAGGATCGTGGTTGTTCCACTTCGATTAGCAATACTTTGAAATTGCTATTTTCGAGCCAAAACTTCTCTTCTCGGTTTAACGTTAATGGGAATCGGTTACGATGAATAATGAATGCCTCCTTCGGAGTCCTTTCTCCGATCCATCCATGTTGCAGACTCGTAACCTTGGCGAAAGAGAAACTTGTAAACGATCCGGGGTTTCGCTAG